TTAGTGTAAAAATATTATGTCAAAATTACTGTCAATATCATAACCATTATAAGCATATATTTTTGAATATTCTAACAATATATTTTAAACATGTGTTGCGCAACGCGCGGGAATTCGTCTAGTTCTCTAAATAAATTGGACATATCTAAAACCAAAACAAATTTGACTAGAAAAACTTTGGTTGACTTACTTTGTAATATTGAAACAACTTAGTCGATTAGGTTAAAACTCTCAGGTTTGCTTTTCTCTTCTTTACTCAACAGTGTCTCTCAGCCACTGCGTCCCTCTAATGACCTCACATCTCTAGCTTCCAAAACTCCGACTCTTTCAACTTTGTTCTGCAGTGGACATACCCGTTATGATGTAATCCATGAAGAACTAACCTAGTATGACATTTAACATCCGATCCCGACGACCCATTTTGACCAGATTATTTGATGAGATCAGCTAGGGTTCCTCCGGAGCCATATTCGACCAACAAATTGTAAACCATTTGTCCATCCTTTCCGGTTGTAATCTCTTCCCAAAACATCTGATCACATTACGACACCCTCAGATATTATTCAAAACCTCTCTCGTTTTAAATTGAAGACGAAGCAGAGACCTCAACTGATTTCACAACCATAATTGAAGGGTAAGAGTTGTATCTAGATTTGGGTTTCTTCAAATTCGCAAGAAATACAGGCATACTTGCTCTGTTCAAGCACCTCATGTTCTTACTTCCTTCTCTTTCTCTCATCGTTCATTGCCTAATTCTCGGAACTGATTGAACTCTTTTTTTTTTCTCATTACCTTTCTTCAAAATTGAATCCATTCCCAAGTGATGTGGGTAACTTGGTTACGAAAGATAGGTTGAAAACAAGCGATTGAAACCGATAAATTAAGCAATTGAAACCAATAAATCATAAGGGTTTATGGAGTTAGGCAATTTTGTTGTTTCGATCATGATTAACGGGAATCTCCGATAAAGTCTCGATATTTTTGGTCAGTTTACGATTTAATCTCAACTTTTATTTTTTGAATATAAAAGTCCCGATTATTTTATATTTTGCCCAAAATTAACGAAAGAGTCCTTATTTTTTTTTCTCAACAGAAAATGACAGGTTGTCGTATAAAACTAGATAATCGGGACTTTCTATTCAAAAAATAAATGTTAGGATTAAACCGTAAATTGACCAAAAACATTGATATTTTATTGGAGATTTCCCGTTAATTAACTCAAAAACTATCAATTTGGAAAAAATATCATTATTGCAAAACAATAGTTTTTAGTTAACTTTTTAATTAATTTCACATTTCGATTTTGGTTTTACATTTAACCTTATATCAAGATCATTTTTGTAATGTTTAAAAACAGACTTTGAACAATTTTCATGTTGATTTGACATAAATCAATAACTTATAAGGATATTTTATTTTGAAAGTTAATTAAATAGTTAGCACCAAATTCAAAATTATAAATGAGTTTAATGTACTAAACACACACCCACTCCCACTCCACCCACCTCTACCTACCCCCACCTTATCA